AAGTCATGGCAAGAAGAAAGTAATTGTATATACCTGGTGAATTAGCACTCTTTAGTCTACCCCCTAATAATCAACACTCAATAATTGGAGCGGCAAGAGATTAGTTCGAAACTGAAATATGAAGATTTACTTAATAAAACAGATTATAGATTATGATTTAAGAGGCTCAAATTTGAGAAGATGTTAGTAACAACTTTAGGAAGTTCTAAATTTAGGCTATGGACACGCACTCACATCTACGTTGTGGGATTAGTGTTTGGATCTAGAATTTTGGTTGTTTAGGCAGGACACAAAAGCTTTTAGGAAATCATAATTGATAGTGATTGAAATGAGGGAAATCCTTTATGTGCAACCAAATTCCCACCATAAACATTGTCACAAGCGGCGAGCTTCAAAATTTTTGATTCTATATTTTATATGGTTTTGGTTGGTGATAGATAATGTTAACTAATCTGGTTAGATTAGATCAACATCAAAGATCTCAAGTCCTTTTAGATGCTCTGGTTGGTTTGTTCGTGCCTTTCTACTTTTCTCAAGGGAATAAGACAATGCTCACTGACTTTGTACTCTGCAAAGCAACAAGATTACCATAGGTAACATCTCCTGCAAGGAAAAAGAAAATTGCGTCAATGTGAATGGAACGTTACATCGTATAAAAACAAGATTAAATCTCTATTTAAGTTGGCTTTAAGGACATAGGAAGTATATATATTAGATTATTGTTGATGCTAATAACTTCAAGTGATCCTGTCACTAATTTACAAAATTGAAGAGTTTCTAATAAATTTTTTTCCCTGAACAACAATTTTTCGCAAGACACCATTGCGTAATCTGTAATAATTTTGTGGAAGCACGTTACCAAGGAATCCTGGTATGGATCCGAATGAGCCTTCGGTTTTCAAGCATTTTGAATTTGATGGAAGAACTGATCTGATGTCGGAACCACCTCATGATTGTAGGTCATATAATTGAGATGTATTTAGCAATTGATTGCGATTTTGGTGACATGATCATAGCTAGTAGTGAAGCCCTAACCTGGCTACTGTAGATGCTTACCTAAATCACATCCAAGCCACGTAATGAGCAGCAATTTCACCATGACAAAATGTTTTACCTATAATTTATATTTACCTCTTATGTTTTATATTAAAAACTATTGTGTCTATGCTTTTGACTGTGACAGAACAGTTGAGAAAGAAAAAACTGCAAATGTTTCCCATATCAACATTAAAGTGGAGGCGGTGGGGGATGAAATGAATTTAGTAGTCCTTTATAAGTCTGCTGCTTTTTTCTGCTATTTCACCCTTTATCCTTTGATGAGAGTGTGTAGTGTGATTCCTTGAGCATCTACTCCGTTAACCATGACCTCAAACCTGCTTTTATACTGTTTTTTTTTTTTCCAATTTATGTACCATCTTTTGGCTCTCTAAAACTAATGCCAAATGTATTTGAGAAAGCTTCACCATGTTGTTTCTCAACATCTCTCAACTAAGCTATGTTAAATTTTGGTCATGATGATCAGCATTAGAGATTGGATGCGAGACGTGCTGGATTTTGTTGCTAATATCCTAAGGGTTCAATTGCGGACAGACCCCCTGTTGTTATTTCCTAAATGGTTAATTGTGGATAGACTTCGTGTACTATATATAGACCAAGTGTGGATAGACCCGCAGTAGTTCTATTGGTGCAGGTAGACCTCCTTAGTGAGCTCTTTCGACTCTTTTTAAGAGTGAAAAAACTCACTTAGGGGTCTATCTGCACTTGGGCAAATAGTATAGGGGCTCTATCCGCACAAATAGAGTTTCGGGGTGTCCGTCCGCAAAGAAGAGGAAATAACAGACATCCATTTGAGATTTTTGCAGAAACAAAGACAAATAAAAAGGAAACTATAGAATTACTGTAGTACTTTCTTGTTTTGCCAGTCAAACCTGAGCTTCAGTCCCACAATTGAAATTATGCACGAATCTTAATTCAAAAGCATTCCTGGAGGAAGGGAGTCTTTCTTGCTTTGCGTACATCAAGAATCAGGATGCAAGAGAAATCTTTATCTTTAAATCGCAAGATTGAAAATAGATGTTTCGCTTTCTTTTCCTGTGCTTGAGCAATCATTAATTTTTTTTTTCTTGTGCCAAGCAGGAATTGCTGCCTGGTTGCGCCTCCAGCGGCACATCAAGTGACGTTGGACATCAAGATATATACCTGAGAATTTCTACGAAACTGGAAGAAGAGAGAAGAAAAAAAAAATCAAGCAGGTACTTCCCTCTCAAACTACTCTAATTATGGAAATCATTAGCTGAAGAAGACAAAATAACCCAGAAGCTAACGCTGACAGCTGAACAAGCTCTCACACACGTAACGTTCACATTATCATATTCTACAAGTAGCCATATAATCAAGGCGCATTCCCTACACCAACTCATTGAAACGGCATCCTAATCAATAGAAAACCCTTCATCCGCTTCACTTTATCTGACCAAAATATCTACTCTCTCTTTTAACTTGAGCCTTGCTGTAGCTGGACGACCAAAGCTTTAAAAGTAACGCCATAGATTTTGCTTCCCTTCATGTCTTAGCTTAGCTTCTCTTTGCGTCGAATACGTAGAGTCACAAGGAGAAAGCAGCGCGCTAAGTTAGTATTCCAACCCTACGAAAAAAAAAACTTGCCTGCTAAATACGAACTTGTGAAGTCTACCAGAAGCATCGATCACAATTCTTTACAACACAAATGTCATCGACTGGATCCTCGCCAAGCGGATGGAGACGGCTGCG